ATATATATATATATATATATATATATATATATATATATATATATATACGAGGTGTTATTTAACTCCATTGCAAAATGGAGTAGCATGTGAAAGAAGTGCACGATCAAAACAATGATTGATTAATACGAAAGAGGCGTTTCATCGTACGCACGCCTCTCTTTATACCAATATATCTCCGATATATAAAATAAAAGAGGAGGGAAAATTTGCAATTTTCCAGGACGATGGAAAATCTGATCGAATCTGATAAATCATCGATCCAGCAAGGCTTTCGCTCGAAAGATAATCCCCTGGAAACGTGCTGGAATCCCGATAAACCGTGGACACGAGCCTCTCCCATACGGGCGATTGTTGAAAGCTTTTTCCTCGAGATGAGGGGTCGATAGCCGATGGCTGCACGAATCAACGCTTAACCCTTTCGATTTTTTCCCCGTCCGGTTTCTAAGGGCCCGATGAAACATCCTCCTCTTCACCATCCTCTGGAACACAACCAACCACGATTCAAAAGATGATGATCACGCTCTATTCATCCTATCCGCGTTCCATCCATCCATTTTTCCATTAATCTCCAATAACTTATTGGAATTTAGCGCAATTTAATTTTCTTTCTCTCTCTTTTTTTTGTTTTCAGAAGAGTGAAATAAATGAATAAACGAAGGAAAGGAAAGGAAGGGAAAAAAAGAAAGAAAGAAGAAAAGAAAAGGGAAGGAGAAGAACAATGGCCACGGCGTCATTTGGGAGGGATCGAATGAGTGGCGAGTTATTTCATCGATTCCCCAGGATTCTCTAGCAATAGTCCCCGTTTACGAGCGTGAAATGGTAGCCGATGGCGAAGAATAAAAGGTACGGCTGTATCGAAATCACCGCGAAAACGCAAGCGGCGTTTCCAACGTGCTCTCCCGGCTTAACCACGGTGTTTGCGAGCTACGCGCCTGGATAATGACAGGATTTGGCTAGGCGATAACTGGAAGAAGGAAAGAATTATAGGCTGCGAGAGTAGGCTCGTAAGCATCAGGCCTTCAGGAGGTTTTAACGGCGATTCAACGCCGTTCTCCTGGCCACCTTCTTCTCTTCCTTACTTTGTGATTTTTGAACGCGCCACGAACGAGGAAACGATGGAGGAACGGATATCTTTGGTGGCACGATATTGGAATACGACGAGGGAAATCGAGTAGTCTGTTAAGATGTTGGATTAAAATACAAATGAATTTTTTAAAATCTGGTCGTTCAAATTTCATTTCATTCGATATTTTAAAAGTTCACCAGTTGAGTATATAGGTTAGATTGGATTCGATTCTAACCAAATTGGCCTGCACATAAAGAGAAAAGTGACAAGAGATAAGCAGGAAGTTGTTCAAATCGCTATCACTACGAGTATCCCCTATAATCCTCTCGATATTACACTCCTACGTGCTTATCGGAAATCAGTTAAAAAAAAAAAAGAAATATTCACGGTGGAGTCACGGTTCGTAGAGAAATGGTCCAAATACCTAGTTTATATCCTGGTGACCTGGTTGACCATTTACGCACGACTGCATACGAAGAATATTAATTACGCGTCAACGACTCACCAAGTATTCCGCATTGACGTGGCGGAAGTAGGTCCGCCACGCGTTAAATGCCACGAAGCATCTTCACAACGGCGACACGAATAATTTGGCGTGATAATTGTCTGGCTAAACAGCCGCGAATGCGGCTAAGAACGTGGGGCAAAAAACTGTCTGCGGAATACCGAATGTACCGTTTATGAGAACGTGAGATGTGTGTATATACGTATATATACATTTGAAAGAGAATTGGTGGTATTTGAGGAAACATTAATTGCACGAGCTCAGCAAAAATTCAACGTTGGAAAATGAAATTGCGAGAAAATTTCTTCTCTAATCCCTCGACATCCCTGAGGGAAAAAGTCTTCCTGTAATACCGACCGAGACTATAAACGTGAACGTAGCCGCGATTCACTTAAGCACCGACAATTGGCCAAATTAAATTCCAGGGATCGAAACGTGGACGCGCCAATTGATCGATTAACTTGGATTTGAATACGAAGGTGAGTTTGTATGCAAGTTTAATCAGAATTTATATAGGATGTTATAAATAATTGTTAAGATAAATTATGAATTTTAATAGTAAAATTTTACTTTCGATTTAAAATTCATCGAAGTTGAATTTATTGTTTTTCAGTGGTGTTTCTTTCCTATTTTCTTGTCTTCAAAATAAAAACCAACATATGTAAGTAGCTCAAAAGTGTTATCGTCGAAATCACTATTCATATTTTATGCCATCACAGGATCAAGTAAATTATTACGATATCCATTTTTATGTTTTATTTACGAGAGTAATTTAAAGTGACACGACCCGAAAGAAACGTAATCGTGAACGTTCTTGGAGAGAAGGAAGTTTAACAAATAATTCAAGGTAATATACCATTATCTGAAGAATGTGTAAAACAAACTCTAACAATAATTCATATTACTGTATCATTAAAGTATTCATCAATCGTTTATTTCAGATGCACCTTTAAAAATCCAATTTGAAAAAGAACAAACTCTATCGGTCAAATTACCATAATGGACGCCATTAAAATGTTCATCGCGCGTTTATCCGAACGTGCAAGTTTTCCAATTTGAAAAGCAACAGACATCCTGCCATAAATTTGAACAACAATGGGCCGCATTGTTGTCGATAAATTCATTGCGCAACGCGTTCGTTTATCTCGTTGCCATCCACTAACTTGAATAAGCTAATTTTCCAACTCGAAAAATATTTCGCCATCAATTCGAATTCACAACAAACTTTAACAATAGCAACGCGTTATTGTTCTATACAAGTATTGGTCGCGCGATCTTCAAGCTCGTCTCGTTAACCCGAATAATCCTTCTCCATATTTGCCTCGTCACGAAAGTGGTCGAGCCGATAATGAGTTCATCGACGATTACGCCAGCGACGTGGCTCGCGTGCAAATACGCTTATGTCACCGATGCTGCAGCCTGCTCGAGCCATCTTTATTCGGTCATCGATCCTTCGACTCTCTCACCTTGTCCTCTTATCTTTCCACGCGATCCACGTTACTCGTATAATAGTACTTACTTATATTACGCAGTGACGGGTTGCGATGCTTCTCAAGCAATATAAATTCTTGGCTGAGCTGGAAGAATCATGGTTTCGAGTCTTGGTAAATTTCACTTGATATCGGTGAACTTAATAAGTGTGATCTTAAGAGCCTTTGATACATCATCAAATAAATAATTAAACTCAAAATCGTAGCGAAAACGATAAGAAAGAACGGTGTCGTACCCATCGCTACTCCGTCTATAAATTATTACCTACGATAGCTTACGATAGAGAGAAAAGAAAAAGACCATTATTGTAACCAGCCATTTTCTCAGAATTACTTGCTAGACTCATTACGATCCCATTAACGTTATCTTGGAACTTGATATAACTCGATATTAAGGCGTGTATTAATATCAATTTCGACTATCCACTCTTTTCCTACATCATGAATCTAATTAAATGCCTCGGCATAAAATTGTTTGTTGGGTATGTCGTACCCATCACTACACCAACGTTCACTCGTTCCAATGGCGAAATCTTGAACTTGGCTCGACTTGTCTGAACGGCGCAGCAGCCTTGATCGTTACCGTTACCCATCGTCATAATGCACGCAAGCACGAGTAATGCGCGCGAGCTCGGGACTAATTACGACAGTTTTCTACAGTGGACATCGTCGCCGGCAGATTGAATCGCGGAACCGATCGACCCTTGATTTTTCGCACGCGTGGGAAAGCTTCGATAACGAGATTCTCAATCGTCCGTTTGGAAAAGCCGCCTTCACCGGCAAGCTATCTCACCTTTGTACGCGCGCAATCCACCAGACTAATAACGAGGATTAATTGGTCGCGCCGGGGTTAATGATCCGCACTCTCTCCGGGCTGGATCTTGGGTTTCCTCTTCTTGGGCTCTTTATTTAGACGTTGATCGTTAATCACGGGTGGTTAATTCCCTTGGAAAGATTTGTTGAAGGATAGCTTAGAAAGGATTTGAATCGAAGGAATGTGAATAAGATGGAATCCGAATTGGGTAATAATTCAAGTTTGAATTTAAGTGTGGTCGTATGGCAAGAATTACTACATTTGTAATACAAATTTTTATATTGAAATTTTAGATGACTATCCGATTTTATTGAATCATGGTAATTTAACGCGTTATTGATAAAAAAAAAAGGAGAGGCTGAATGTTACAATCGTACCGTATCTCGGTACAATTATAATAGAATTTTAATTACAAGATATTCCAGTCGATAAATCGTGAATATATATGTATTTAGTACAAGTTAAAAAAAATATTATTTAGAAATATTGCATAAATATTTTGTTATTCCACTAAATGCCATAGATCAAATTCATTTGTTTTACGTAACAGAAATACAAATAATGTATTAGCCTAATTAATTATCCTAAATAAAAATATTTAAACAACATTCATCATTTAATCTTTTTTCGATATCCTGTCTTATTAAAATATCGTCTATTAATTAAACAAAACAAGTCGACAAAGGAGGTTAATAGAGTGGATCGCAGGAGGAAGTAAACAAGCGGAGAAAATAGAGGTTAGAACGTGACGAACGAGGTGATCCATACTCGACCGTGAAATTTATTTGTCGTTTAAAAGATTTTACATAGAAACTAAAGCAAAACCAATGTAGTAATAGATTTATTTTATGGAACGTGTAATAGCAATCCTCGAACAAGATCAGTTTTATTTTAAATGATATTACATCCGTTCGACATTTTTAATCGTCAATATTAAATCTTGTCTTTTGATTCGTGATATTCGGATATTCAATTATTTTTAGTCGATAAACACGCAGAAATTAGTTCTATAAGATAATAAAGAGAAATATACATGTATAACGGTACTCGTATCGTGAAACAAAATATAATTAAACACAAGGGATCGATATATACATCAAGCATTATTCAATTATTTCAATTTCGATAAGTGTTCTTGCAAATTTTAATTCGATTGTCTGTTCTTCTATATATAGATAAATAATTTGATAAAAGTTGCAAAATGATAGAATCAAATTCATTTATTATAGATTTATATATATTCAATGTATTTTATATAGTTAAAATTTTTATAAACATGAAATATCATGATATATGAAAATATATTAATCTCATAGTAAAATCCTAACTATATCGAGTTTACGTAATAATTATCATCACGATTTGTACCGTTACAAACTGGATTATTTTACAAATTATATCGGCACGTCATAATGAATAATTCATAAAATGTACTTACAAGAAACATTACTTTTCCAATTAACACTTACATAAAATCGAATCGTGAGCACGAAGTTTCGTTTATTCGTCATTATTTGTCGAAAGTGTTATTTCACTCTCGATCATCACTTAGCACATCTCACGATATTGAAACGATGAGAATAAATTTATAAAGCTTGTAACAAATTTTAGAATCCAATTCGACGATTGTCATCGCCTCGATTATTGCATACACAGAGAAAATTACCCGGTTTTCGGTTATGGTTAACCTGTTATTTCGAAGTTATTCGAGTTTTACGAATTCGCGGCAAGGCTCATAAACCGAAACGATCGATTCAATCGAGTTATAATCGGATAGCACGATGTTCCAATAACCGCGAACGAAACATCTTCGATCCATAAAGATCAAAGGCAAATCGGTCGTAATAGCGATCGTTTCGATAAAAATGTCCGCTCGAGCGTACTATCTAAAAATATGGCGGCGATAAATGTGCATTGTAACGAAGAGGGCGTTGCAGCTAGTCATGGTGAGTCACGTGAAATTCCTGTTCCAATTGTTCTATAATCTTGACGATCCACAATACCGATTCAAACATTCCCATGCAAGTTATTTTTTTAATCCGCGTACAGACTGGAACGAACGCTAGAGCATTATGAAAAATATACTGTAAGTTATAAATATATAAATAAATGTAACATTAAATTATAAATATAATTAAATTACTGTAGGATTTATTATAATTTTATTAATCGTTAAAAGAATTATTAGATTCCCTATTAAGATAAAACTAAATTATCGAATTAATAATTTATATTTTGATGTAATTGTTGAAAATTTGTACAATTCTTATTATGTTTTAATTTTCGTGAGCATTCTTGCATCGATTTCTATGATTCTGTTATGCTTTAATTGCTGTTTGGAAAATACATCGTCCAATCGCATCATGCACCTGTTGCAATTTCAGTAACTTCGTTCGTGATGTGAAACATCGTCTCTTGAACTTTCAATATCATTTTCAATTTCAGTTTCATTCACCAATTTCAAAATGCACCTGTTGCTATTTTACCACTTCATTCACAGTTTCGAAACACCGTCCCTTCGATTTCATTTTGTATAAAAATTCCTTCAAATGAATTTACTATAAATTTATATTACATAAAATCATATGCGAAAAGTGTAATAGATTTATTAACTTATTGATTCTTGTCAATTTAAAATAGCTATTTATTACTAACTAATAAAATAAAATATTTTGTTCCTTAAAAAATAAAATAGTAATAGGAATAAAAAAAATATTCTTATACATCAATCCAATCTTAATTCACAATCTTCTTTCCAATATTTATCTTGGATCTTATATCGGTGTTCCTTATATCATTAAATCGTTGAAATACAGTTCAACCTACTCTCTACGTTCATATAAATTGCTCGTGTACATATCATTCCAATCTGCGGTTTTATCGTCTTCTGAGCAATTTCGGTGATAAAAGTGAGATACGTGGGAGGATTCGAATGCCGAATACGAGCAAACAGAAAGCGGAAAACGCGGAAATTCGTGCCGCGGAATCGCGTTCGTCGACACGAAACGACTGGCCTATATTCGAGCCAACTTATACAGTTATCTGGACGCAGTTTATACGCATTCGGGCGCTGCGTTCTTTCCGCCGATACCAGAGATACTTCGAGTCTCGTAAAATCGGCGGACAGTCGTGGCAACGGTTTTCCTCGCCTCTGTTCTCTCCCGTTTATTTGGATCCGTAATGGGCGCGGTGGTATTCAGATTCTTGGATCTTTTTCGCTTTTTCGGGACGAGGTTGCGGGCGTGGTTTAGCGAAAACTCTTGAATCTAGATCTCGAACAGAGACACGGTGTAATTACGTTTTACGTAATTATTCGATCCATATAAGATACAATAAAACGTTGATTATTGCTTAGCATACGAATATACAGGATGATATGTTGATAGTGATCGCTCACTGTACACACATTCGCACCAATTTATATTACATTTATACGAAAGATTTTGATTATTATCTAAATTTCTTACTTTTATTTTATAAGACGATATCTTTTTCACAATAATATTTTCAAGATTTTTATAACTCTTGTAGCTCGATCAAATATGATTTACAAAAGGCTAGTATTTTTCTCATAACTCGTTCGAAATTATACATACTTAAAACTTTAACAAACCTAAATATCAAACAAATATATACATACTCGAAAAGAACATAAAATATATTATATATTTTCCTAACAACAATTTTATTCCAATAATTTCATTTTCTACTGGAATAAAACCCAATAAAACGCAATCACATACAAAAAGAGTTTCGAAGAAAACAGCGACAGGTTGTCGAACAATAGACAAATTCCGCGAAATCTCTACTAGAAAATCCCGTCTAGAATTTTGAATTCGCCCTGATCGAAAGTGCGCAAGCATTCTCGGTGTCCCGTTATCCAATGCAATGCTCATCTTTCGATTTCATAGGCGCCGGTTGGTTATCGTGCCAGCCGGCGAAATAAAAACCGACCACCACATTTCGCCACATGCCTACACGACATCTCGTACTTCGAGTCGTGACCCGGCATTCCGAGTAGCTCTGCGAGACAACAGAATCCAATATTGCACTTCGGTGCATATAATCCTGTTTGAAAAAAGGATTTGGACTTTTTAGGAAAATTGTGCACGCATGCCACGAGTAGATTTCCAGTAGAAATTCGAGTATTCCGTAATACGAAGAGGTATTCTAATTGTTGGCTGTTCCTCCTTCATTCTTGACAAAGTTGTTGCGGCTTTAATACGCGGTGCACGGAAGTTGCGACGTGCCAACACGAATGACCAAGTCATTGCTACCGTGCCTACGTATTTTTCTTCTTCTTCTTCTTTATCTTCTCGCTTCCTCGTCGACCACCTGGCTTCCCGCGTGAGAAAACTGAAATAAGTAGAAAATTATGTAACTACGTAATTTTTTTGTTAGTTTTGGATAGGTTTGTAAGTAAAAAAATACTTGAATTGGAATGATCAGACGAATATGCAGCTTCGTGTAATTTTAAGGTGAATTGTTACGGCGAATATATAAATGTAGTGAATTTTGTAATCCTTTCTTCGCCTCTTTAAATAATTTTTGTGACTTCAATGGAAGCTAAAAAAAACAAAATTTCCATCGTTATTGACACATTTTATTAATATCAACTTACATCACGTACAACGAGTAAAATAATTTCAGATTCTTCCAATTTTCAAAATTATTTCAAAATTACCACGTTATCCGTTTGAAACAAACAGGATTTCCATGTATTTTTTCAGCAATACAACCAGCGGATTCAATCGATTTCTTTCTCAACGTGTTTTTGCACCACATACAGACATCCTTCGCGTTCCTCCTCTCAACCACTAATTTCCGCGATCTAATGATACGTTTTCCCTGGTCAATGAACGTGAAATCCATGCGTGACTCGGGGAGTGAATCGATGTTACTAGAAGAACAGAGAATTTCGCTATGAAATTACACGTATGAAATTCACGGCTTGGCCGTATATCGAAGAATGGCCAATTATACATGGTCACGATTTATCAAACAATTGCGAGTAACAGGAATACGACAAATAAATATATATATATATATAGTAGGGGTAAAAGGAAGAGGTGATGAAACGAACGGTATATCATTGCGTGCATCGAAAGAATGTTTGCAAGAATGAAACGTTTCAATTTGAAACAATCTATTACATCCGTTTGATCGTTTACTTGAAATGAATGTCATAATTAAATGTCAAATAACACGAGACTGTAATATTTTGCACACAATTTGATTTTCATAATTATAAGATGTTCCTAGATTCTTTTTCTTTTTTGTCTTCTCCATTCCAATTTTCCCCAAATCCAAAAATCGGTAACAATGTTCCAGCAATGAGAATAAAAGGAAAACTCGACTATTGAAAATTCGATCGAGAAATATCGGAAGAGAGAGCACGATAAAAAAAAAGGAATGGTGCTGCCTCGACTAAAAATATCATTTCCACCTGCTACCGGCTATAACCAACCATGAACGAGTACAGTTAATTCCGGGACGGGAGTTTTGAAATATTGCATTGCTTTTTTGCCACTGTTCACGCAAGAAACTAATGGATTATACAGTGGCGAGGGCGCGCCATCGACGCTTCCATTCCAACGGGCGTTTAAGTATCATTACCATCAAACCTGGCCATTATTCGCGGTAACAAGTTGCCCGCGATATAATATTGGATATAAAAGGGAGACAGGGGACACAAAGTTTCAGATCTATATATACGTACGTAATGGGATCTTTAACCTTGTATAATATCGTGTTAACGCCACGTTTGAGGTTACGTTTGTCTATCCAAACCATCTTCTTTTTTGTAATATAAATTCGATCGACTCATTTGGAATTTTTTCGAGATATGCTTGTTATTTATAGATTTTTTTTACTTATAACTGTTCTTCAAGATTTCTCTAAAAAGTAAGAAAGAAAAATGGTATCTCCTATATTTTCATTTATTCTCCTTTACGAGATTCTTTCCTCTCTTTCACTCTTACGTACAATAAGTTTCTCTCGCGATTCGATCGTGGATTGTTGCGGATAATTCGAGGCGATGAATAGCAGTAGTTCCCATCCAGTTGCGGTGTAGAATACTTGAAGATAAGGGGGATAGAAACCTGGAATAAAGAATAGAATTCCGTTATTTAGGAATCGACCTTGCAGATCCACAAAAATCGAACCGTGATGCGAAATTAAGTTGCACAAGTTATTCGAGATAATCGTTCGGTTAATTGATCCAGCAGAAATAATCGATTCTCTTGGAAAGTTCTATCACCGTGTTTGAATATTATTTAAGAATCTGAATATTCTCGAAAGGGAAGAAAAATTTTTTGAACTATTTTGCAATTATCAACACAATTGCTATTGCTCGGCTTTCTCGTTACTTTTGATTATTACGAACTATATTATAAGCGTGTGTCAGGTTAATCGCGCGAACGAGCAATTGCTCCATTTTTCATAATGCTCATGTGCTTCGACTCGATTGTTCGCGTGGGATCGTGCATGGAAGAAGGAGCGCCTTGGAAAATCGTGCGTGAGACACGCTACGACGCGTTTTTATTCTTTTTCCTTTCCTTATTATTTCGTTCAATTATTAAACAAGTATATTTTAACACCGAAGTTTGTCGCGATAGTTTTTATAATTTTATAATTAAATTAAATTGGTTACTCGAAATATATTGCTTCTTGGAATCAAAGGAATAACATTTCAAAGAGGAAGAAAAAGTTTACGGTGCAAAATTCACCGTATCGTCGAAGAAAGGGCATTATATTTATTTCTGTTTCATCAAGAAACAAGATATCTATTTTCTGCTGCCGCTCCAGGACACTCTTCTACAAAGAGAGACTTGAAACGCCTTCGAAGGATATATTCGAAACGAAAAGAACGGCATGGAAGGAGCGGCATTGTGCCAACGGATGGAGATGTTTTGATTTTGTGCAACGGCTAAGGGAACGGTCGATCAAAAAGCGCATCACCAGACACTTGAATGCGTTGGATGGGCAACGACCAACGAGCCTGTCCACCTGTCAGAATCGTCGCTGGCCGATACGATATTCTCCACCCGTGGAGAGGGAACAACCGTTAATCCGCGCATCAATTTTGCCGCGAATCAATCCGAGCGAGGCGTCTACGAAAAAAATATATCCCCGGATTATGCGGAAATGGACGAAGGAAGCCCCTGTTTCCGCCGTGTCAATCGCCTTGTTTCGCTGCGAAAACGGCGCCCGATTAATTCAAAATGGACGCCAATTAAACGCGATGATCAAAAGTTTAACGGTACCGAAATGCTAGCGCGTGTAACGTTCTATCATAGGCGAGAAGAATTCCACCGGCTGAATATTCTTTATCGATGATTCTTTATTTAATCTACGTGTCTACGTATTAGAAGCGTGCATTGCAACCCCTTGTTACCGTTAAGCGACCCAAAGACGTTTCGATTATCCCAAATTATTATTATTATTATCTTGATTATTTATCTCGATTACTCGTTCAACCTTTTCCTCTTCTCTGGTGTAATGCTGATTGAATTAAACGAGTTTTTATTATATACACTGGTCGTCGGTAATTTTAAAGAATTGAATTGAAGATTTTCAGAGGATTCCGAAGGATTGGCAACCTTTTTAAATACAAAGGATTAATAATTTTTCGATGGAAGGCAGATTCTGTCCATTATGTAACCGCACGACGAGCGCTGTTGTCAAGTACACTTGCACGCGTCTTAATAGAAGTACCTTGATGGCCTCGTAGCAATGGCGCGAGAAATTTTATCAGGCCTTCTCCAACTTTTATCAAGACTATTGATTCAAATTTACAGGCCGATCGGGACAATATTTGTACTCGAAGCGAGCACAAATGTCCTCCTCTTCTTCCCTTCGGCTATGCATTCCCAAGACGATGACCCGTCGTGCTATTTCCGCGGACATTGTTCGAAACCGACGAACCGTGGTCTCGAAGAGGAGGAGGAGGAGGAGGATCGCAGGAGGTCGTCCCTAAATACCTGAATCTCCACTTCCTCCGCTTCAACGCCGCATACTTGAATTCGAAAGAATCTCTTACAAATTATCTTACAAATTGGATAGAGATCGTTCTTCGATCGAGAGCTTATTTAATTAGTTAATATAAATGAACGATTAATATAATGAATGAATAAAAATATGTACAATTGATATGATATATTAGTTGTATTAGTTGTATTTAGAATTTTAATATATCAACAATTTAAGTTTCCACAAGATGAACCAAAATGAGGATGGAGCGTGTTTCGATGATCCAATTTAAACGCAACAATTAATTGATTGATCTAGGAATAACAAATAATTCTGAATCTCTTCAAAAAAGAATTTTTCCGATTATCCGTTCGAAGAAAAAGAGAAGCACAGCGTCGAAACTCGTCTCGTCTCGAAAGCCTCGTATCTGTTTGGGCTCGTGAATAATGGGCGCAAAAAACCGCGAGGAGCAAGTTCGATGAAAATGTAACGAGATTCTCGAACGTACGAACGCGTAATCCCATTAAATTCGCGGGGCGAGGAAGGGGTTTCGTTAATCAAGTTTCTCTCGGCGGCACGCGTGCCGAGCGGGAAGACAAATTGAGGCGAAAAACCCGAGTTTCAATGCGTCGTAGAGGAGGAGGAGGAGGAGGGAAAAAACGTCGTTAACTCGTCGTCTTTTATTCGCTATCGATTTTGTTTCGACTCGTGCGGAACGAAACGTAAGGAAGCACGATTTCTAACAAAAATTTTCTTTTAACACCTATATCTGGCTAATTGATAAAATTCTTCTTTTTTTCTGTTGCAGTTGCGAGGATCGATAAACAAACCCCCTTCTTCAAAAAATATTTTATTTTTAAACTATATAATCTATACAATACGTATGAGAACAAAATCAATTTAAGAAGAAATTTATCTTTTATTTATTTGTTTTATTTTATATATACACACACACACATTTAAGTAGAAATTAAAAGAAAACATTGTAACAAGAATCCCTAGAATGTAAATCCCTATTAATGTAAATACACGTATAATAATAAAATGCAGCGACATAGTGCAAAGGATTAATAGAAACTTTATTCGAGAAGTATTAGTTTACGTGTTATTCTATCACCAAAGAATTTGACTCTATTTTATATTAAAATCAAAAAAAGAAACGAATAAATATATCCTAATCAGAAAAGCTCACATACATTCACGTTTACAATTCCGCTCCATAAAAATATGCTTAACCTGTTCAACTGTTGTAAATTTTATTACAAACGCAAAAGTGTTACCGATGGGCGTTCTTAATATATAATAGAAGAAGGCTATAGCCGTTTTTAGGCCAGTATTATCGAGTATTATCGATACAACTCTTAAGCGTGTCCTTACGGCCACAATTTCTTCTTCAATCGCATTAAAGTTTAACTACCGCTTTTATTATATACACGTGTCATGCGCGCGCACACACACCACGCGCATGCGCATAAGTTGGTCAAGTGATTTTCTGAAATATTCCCGATTCGTTAGTTCACAAGTGACGAGAAGATAATAAAACGAAAACGAAGAAAAAGAAGAAGAAGAAGCAGCAAGACAAGAGTCTCGCGTTCCAAGCTAATTAGTATCTTCCGTTCATTTTGCACGTCGACGGAACGCGGCCACCGATGGAAAACGAGCAGAGTCGCCATTTCTAACGTTATTAACGCACGCACATTGCGACCAACTGCACACACACGCCCTCGGCAATTCGGTGTGAGATCGCGCCATATACATAGTTAATTGCCACTCCCTCGTGAAATTGCCCGCTTCCACAACATTCCTATCAAGGACGGGAGAAAAAAAAAAAAAAAACTGTACGATTATTCTCGTCGAGGAATTAATTAAAATAATCTCGTAGATATAAGTATACAAATAAGTATGTTTAACAGCGTGGAATTCTATTTATACGAATATTTATCGTGAGATAAACATGTTCACATCATATTTTCCTGTTCCAATTCTCCTGTCCCGTCGACTGTTAATATTTTAACGTTCCAATCAACGTGAATTTGTACAAATGGATTTTCTACGAAACGTTTTCTAGAAGAATGAAAATTAATGAATTAATTTTTTTATTGTTTTAGATATGATGATACGATTATACCCCTATTTTAATCCTGGTTTTGCAAAAGTTAAACAATTCGAAATATCTTCGGTAACAATTTCGATATACTGTTGCATACTTTAAGGTCGTAACTGGAACTCTGAAGAATATTGAACGGTAGTTGCAAAAATATCGATGGTTATTTTCTCCTAATAACTTGGAATTATACGTTTAGGATGAGGTAAAAAGAAAAATTGCCTTCAGCCTTTTAAATCTAAATAAATACTCGAGCAATCTGTACAGAAGAATAGAATTCTATCAGCTGTACTTCGAAAGTATGGTAAATGCGAAATAATAAAAAGTTTCCTCGTCTAGAAGATTCTACTTCCTCTGTAATCGAAATATATTAATGAACCATAAAACTAAATTTAAGATAAATATACGTATATTTACCTTATTATACCAATTCAATCCAATAAAATCCAATAAATGCAACGAAAAATAATAAAAATTCAAAAAGGAGGCGAAATTTCATTTAATTAAAAAAAAAAAAAAATAATAAAACTTATTCGATTTTATTTATTCCACGTATTCGTATAGAACGTGAAAAATAAACGCCATTTGAAAACCGCTCGGAGGACTCTCGAAGGTAGTCTCGGCAGTCAAGGTCACTTGAAGGTCGTGAAGAGCTGCCTCTTCAAGGCCGTGTCGTTGACCCCTCCCCACGAGTTATATATAACAAACCACCGTTCTTACCACCGTTCTACCGTGGATTCTACGTGGAATTTTTTTCTACTTATCTTTCTTAAAAACTTCTCTCGTTCGTAATCCCAATTATGCAAATGATGCAACAACCGTGATCAAAAGAATACGCTCGATACGTATCGCATCGCTGCGGATCACCAACAGTTTCCGCATCAATTTCGTCACGGCCTCCGCGCCGAAGATATTCGTAAACACCTCCCTCTAATTCCTGACAATTTTGCTAATTAACCTGATCGAGGCTCGAGGGGAAGCGTGAAAATATACAACTAATTGATTTCGCACATGGTCACAGTCGGTGCAATTAAATTCCTCGATGAACCCGAGCAATAAGAAGTTGTTGTTCAACAAGATCGAATTTATTAAAAATAATTTGCAAAGAGAGATTTTGTTTTGCTCCTTCCATTCTCAGCCAACACGCTTCAAATATACTTGCTAGACTTTTATTAAAGATTGTAATTATTGCGAATTCTTAAATCCTTCGTATTATCGTTCCCATCACATTCAATTTCGATAAATTATTTTTGATTCGCGGTGCACGAAAAAAATTACGTCTCGATCAATTACATTATTTCAACAAAGGAGGATGAAACAGCAGACATCGGATCGAATGAATGAAAGTACTGTCCAACATCCTATTCTCGACGCAGCTCGGAATAGGGAAAAATGAACGAGACTCGAGTCGAGAGCCTTGCTCAAACGTATCCTTGCCCTTAGAAACGCGGCTCTATTTGAGGATTTAATCCAGAGGGTTATTTTTCACGAATGGACATCGCATGGGGCCCCAGTAATTTCCGAGAAACCCACTCATTCTCGGAGGGGCGAGAGTTTTACTCCTCAAGTGGGGAGTCACACAACCGTAACCGAAGTAGCCAACGATTAACGACGATCGTTAATCAGTCATCCGTGTTTCTTTCCCCTATCCGGCGAACAAACGCGAAACGATGTTCCACCCGTCCACTTGTGGGTGTCGTGGATGTATTCGAAGAAAACCGCGGCAGGAATGGCCGCAAATGGCAAACCTTGCGAACGGTGAAAGAAGGGGGGAGGGGAGAGTCGAGGGGGAGAAGGGATCATAAATCTGTATAATTGACAGATCCCGCAGAAAATGTTCGTGCCCCATAGATACTCGAACAGATAGCCTGCTAATAACACCGCGACGTATACACGAACATATATAATGGTGGTTGGTAGGAAAAAAAAAAAAAAAAAACGAAAAATCATACACGCCAACTTTGTGCAATATAAAATCGGATAGGACGAGGACGGACTTTGGGTTTCGCTTAACAAACAGCTACCCCCTTTCCTCGATGACGATCTTGCTTTTCGTGGCGCTTACTTATAGGTTGCTTTAAGAAGAGAGAGATTTAAAAAGCTTCCAATTCAATTAGACTTGTTGCACTTTTCGCACGAGATAAGAAAGATTCTGTTGATTCGTGAAATTGACCGTTTATAATAAATGATTATTGTATTAATATCATGTATCGTATAAACATGTTTTCCAATTGATTGATAAATAATTAAAATCAGTATTCAATTGCAGTTACGAGGTGTTGCTCTATAAACGAACGAAATTGACATGATATAGTGCGAATACCATCTGAATGATAATTTAATTTCGGATCTGAATCGAAGAAACCAAAGAATCGATCTGAAATAATGTTTCTACCCATTAGCGAGACTCGAATCCTGTATGCGCACACATAATTTTCCACGCGACTTCTTCCCTCCTCTCGCGGTTATCCAACTAAGAAAGGTTAATAATTTAATTCGAGATCGAATATAAACCCGTCCAAGGGAATAGGATGCGGTCATTGCCTCGTTTCAGTGAATTCTATCTGTAAGAGTTGTTAGAAGCAAGTTCAGAAAATGTGAATTTGTAGGCGGAAAGCAGCATGTTAAAATCATAGAATAGGTTGTGATAGTTAATACGCCGACTTGTATTTGCTATTTCAATAAAGAGCAGGAGAATCGAATTTCTTGGTTTGTTCGACTCGTGATTTACAAACAGAGAGATCAGATTTGTTAATAATGTTTGATGATAAGAGATTTGTAAATGATGACTGATTATATTAATTTACGTTTCATAAGAAATTGTTTACGATATAATGCAATTGATAAGTTAAATATATTTTGGCTCTATTAAATATATTATGGACAAAGCATTTTTTTTTACAATGATGTTGTCAATAAATGAGATATATCTTTGATGTAAAGTATTTAGAATTTAAAAATTGGAATAATACAATAATAACAAATCAATTATTTTATAAAAATATTACATAATATCAGGTGGTATAAACAAAATCTTAGATATTTCTGAATTCCTAATCTTATTAATGGTTAGTGATATATATATATATATGCATGATCCTCTACATAAAGGCATCCACAAAGGTATACATAAGTACTTACTTATTTTACATAGAAGCGATCAGTCTTGCTGGTCACCACTCATGTGGGCTGCATGCAAAGGGCTCGTCGACAAGGATCAGAAACTCAGCATGATACTTAGGATGAAGGATTACTACTTTGGATGCTGCTTCTTCGAACTACTTCACCTGTACGATACACATACAAACTATACCATTAACGGACGAATAATTACACGTTCGAACACTTTTTCCCTTCTCTTTGTCTTATGATAAAGAGATCCGAGTTAAACTCACTAATGAATACTACTGTTACTAAATATCGTTACTAATATTAAATATTATAAAAGGTTCGTTTTTTTTTTCTTATGTAGAAAACACTTTAACACTATTTTCCATTAGGCTCTTTCAAAAAATCAGAACATAACCTGTTTCATTTACGACAATGACAATGAATTGCTGTAATTTCGTTCTTGCACACTAAAAATTTAAAATAATAATGTATTACATTATCACTATTACACTCTGCAATGAAAAAAGTAACTGTAGTTTTCTTAACACAGCAAAATAAGAAACATTTTGTCCACAACAGTAATAGCGGCATCGTATTACGGAAACAAAATTGCACTAGGAAATATTAGTTTAGGCGAAAGTGTCGAGAACGAAAAGAGAATTGTCGCGATAACGATAATCCAAAGCATAGCAGTTTAACAAGATGATTACAGTAACCAACATTGATGATTGAATGAACGATGATGCCGATCGAAAGATTCGCGTCGAGCAAGTTTGTCGTAAACGAAGCGTGCACGAGGAATCAATTAAACACATGATTCGATTTAACCTATTTTCTAATAATTCGTAGTCAAAGCACTGATTTTGATTACAAGAGGGTTTATTACCGAGAAATTGCAAGTTGTTCGCGATAGAGACTGATCTATTAAAAACGTATAAACGCCATGGAGAAACGGAATACGAGCGGAATAATAATTCGTTCAAATCGGACGCCATCTTGGCATTTTCGTAATCGTAACTGATCAACAGGCAGCTTCTGAAGTTGGCTGCGCGAGAAAAACGACTTCGACGAGTAGCCACGTTCAAGTCGTTCGTTAGGAAACGTAATTTTTGTCGTGACAAGCAGTGAAATGGAAGACGGGATAATTATAAGATATTTAATGCCGAGCATTGGATTATTTATACGGAAAGAAGTTTTATCACGGTTACGATTTCCCTCTTTCTACGAGGAGTATATTTCTTAGCATGGTGTGCGAAATTAATTGTGAAAATTGAGTAACTTTAGCATGTGTGTGAGTGATACGTAAAGTGTGAGAAATTTGAATAAAATGGAAAGGTGAGAATAATTCGAGAATTCCTTTTAAATGGACTATTATCCTTTAAGATTGAATTAAATTTATAACGAATCGAAAGATTTTTACTTGTAATATAGCAATATTATTACTTTTGTATTCAAATCTGTCTCAGATTTAACCTATTAGATAATAAAGTCAATAGCTAACAAGCAAAAAACGATGAATTGAATCTGTAATATAAACTGTAGTCCTAAAAATTTTTATACGCGATAATTATTCGATTGTTTTTCTTGGTTGTATCGAGCGGTAGAAACGAAGCAAAGTCTACATTATCGTGTCGCCATGTAAATAGCGTGTCATGAAGATATCTAAGGAACGATAAAAAATCGCGGCACGAAATTCATCTTCCTCGACTCTCTCGTTTACTTTTTGCCTTTAATTTACCGTAACGAGCTATCTTCTTTGACCAGTAACGAGAGCTTCATTATCATTTGCAATTTTAATGTCACGAGTACAACACAGTGTACGCAACCGCTCGAACCTCTGCAATTTATACGATGTCGTTGTTCGCGTTTCCAGCTTCAATTTCATTACGTCGGCCGTCGTTTCGTGTTGCTTCAATTAACGCGGATCGTTACGTGTTCCAACCGCTTTATACAAACTGTTTTACCGGTCGAACAGCACTCGGTAGCGACCGTTACTGAAGCGACTTTAGTTGATTTATCGAGGCCAATGAAATCAAATGTTCGATATTTATCCTGATTTTATTCGATGAATTTGAAATTTGGGACGATCAACGAGACAAATTTTTCTCTTAACCCATTAAAACGAAACGCAAGATCCAATTTTTTATTGTAATTTGTACTTTATACCTCTTAAATTAACCTTTTGATTTTCAAAATGATGAGCCTGACTTGTCACGTCAATTAAAAAATAATCCCAATTAAACCAAAGAATTTGTCAATTTGATTTTTAATTTGCTGTTGTAGCATTCAAACAACATATTGTTTCCTGCTAATTACAAACAACTAATTAGAGTTCAAATATTTTAACAAATTTTGCAAGTCAAATTTCGATCCATCCATGAATTTTTTCCTCAAATAATTTCATAATAGAATACATTTCATTTTCAATTTTGTTTCAATTTGAAAGATTCCTCGGATTATCGCAAAATTCTACTCGATATTATTAAATGAATTTAACGGACGGGAAATACACGTGTTACGATCCTCGTTGAGCGGAGAAAATTTTACGAGATGATTCGATGATGAATTCGAGGAAGACAGTTATAACTTTCCGATTTCCAAGGCGAGGTGAGGAAGCATTAGCCGGCCGTTGATACGATACGAGGAATCCGCGATTATTAATATCGGCAAGTTTTGCTTCGGTCCAGGCATTAGCCTGGAATTTCGCTGTTAATTCGCAGGGAAAACGATGCATCGAACCGATGTCCATTTTTTGTTACACACATTACACATCACGAGGATAACAAATTGTGCATCATCAGGCGAAATGGGTTGCGAATGTATTACGTAATTATCGAGAATATATAATAATTCGAGAATAAAGCTCGAAACGATAGATATATAGACCCAGGAAAAGAGGATGGGGATTTTAATATCGAGAAATGATAAAATTATCTTGTGTGTGAACCTGCGTTACCCAGATAATGGCTGCCTGGATGAATTTATATATACACGCGGAACTCGTGGCGATTAGGATAACGAATTTTATTTGCTCGGTTTCTTGAACGAGAGGAGGAAGGTATTTATTAGGTCTGGAATTATATATTTTTCTGATGAAGTTATCATTTATTTTTTACCCGATAAAATAGTGTTTTTCTTCTTGCTCGTTGATGAGAAGAAGGAATTTTAATTTCGATCGGTCGGCTACGTTTACAGAACAATAAACGTTTAAGGATTAACATAAAATATTAATTGTCAAATGGAATATTATTAATTGTTAGAGTTATAAATGATTTAACGTAGATACAGAATAACATCGACAAATACATTAGAAATTGCCTGGAAGTAAGAAGAAATTCATACACGTAATAAAATTATCCTTCTAAACTAATCCTCGTTAAAAAATCCTCAAATAAACAAAGACGCTTCTCTTCCTCTGAGAAACAAGCTTCGCGGGAGAGTAACGAAACGAGAATGATAACTAATCGTGATACGCAAAAGAAAAAGACAGAGCCACCACCGAATTGAAACTGGCTCAATCGCGACGAAATTCTCGCAGCGAGGACACGTGACGTTATCCTCACAAGACATCCTCCATTTTAGTGCTCTATCGCGTGTTCTCCTGTGGAAATTAATCAGAGAGGAATCGAGCCACTTTCAGTGATAGATATAGGAATAACTCGAAATTAATCGGACGTGACGGGGAGAGCTCCGTTGAAAGAGAGAGAGAGAGAGGGTGCAGAATGGAGGAGCAAGCCGTTGAAACTCGTTCGTTCGTTATCTTTTGATCTTCGAAAAAACGAGCGATACGTGTATCACGCGTCCTACTGCAATATCTCAACCCGGTACCAATTGCGAGCATCAGACCTAATCGAAGGCTTGGTGGACAAAACGATCAGCAAAGGCGCATCCAGCCGAGAAACTCTCTCTCTCTCTCTCTCTCTCTTCTTGTTATATGGAATACAGTTACGTTAACATCCTTGCGGATTCTTTGAGAGAACGGGTCGAACGATCGATCGCTTTATTAGGGGGTTTTTATTAAGAAATACAGGAACGAAGATCGAGATCAAGTTTTCAAGAGCTGGAAGTCGAAGAAAACTTTGTGATCTTTTTTTTTTCGTATATAAATTCATCTAAAATTCTCTATTTCTTTATTTCGTTAATTCTGCTTTTAAAATGTAGTGTTTGTAATAGAATATTACAAAGCGAAACGATTTTAATCCTCGTGATTTTACAATATCGTAATGATTGTTATTGTATACGTTACATTTTATCTAGAAATAAATAATCGTAATAAGAGAGACTTATGGCTTAGCTACTTACACGATCAAAGGAGTCAGACTCCTGTGGAGCAGCAAGGAAGTAGATTTGTTCCTATTATTCATCGTAAGCGGTGGCCATTTCTCACGTGGCGAATGTTTGACCATTGTTTTTCTGTTTATTTTACGTAACACATTCTCGTAATTTTTAATTTATTAAAGTCTAATCTAAGAATGAATCGAAGGGGAAGTAATTGTATCTCGAGACACCTCGCAGAAGTTAAATTTAAGAATTTAAGAATAATTCAAGGGAGAAAATGTAGAGCGGTTCGCTTGGATCTTTGCGTAATCGAAAAAAAAAAGAAAGGGATTATTTCTCGATTACAGGATGCGCGAAATTAACGCGAATGATTGCAGAAGATGCTCCCAGAATTACGCGAATGAAGTTTGCATGCGATCCGCTCGTAATCGCTTTTGAAATTGTGGACGTGATCTGGAATTAATTCTTGGGAGGAAGCGTGTCTCGAGAAGAGAGAAGATACTCCAAACCAATTACCAACACTTCAAAGGGTATTTTGCCGTGAGCGTTCCTCGAGAGGAACACGAGATTTAGATTTAGAGCTGGCGAGATGGTATTAAATTCAATGATGGTGTATTCTAACCGAAACCGTTTTGCGAAACTTAAAGCGTGTTATATAATGCAAAAGCGAGCCTTAATCTCGGCCATAAAATTCACTACAACTTGTCATTTAATTAAATACACCTCTTCTCTCGCAATATAATTATTGGTAATATTATTCAGAGAATTTTACCTAATAATACAATGTGTGAGGAAAAAAAATTGAACATTCTTCGAATTTTCTTTCCTCTTAATAATAAAATAACGCTCAACCCTCGTAAACATGAATTAATTCGCCCAGAAATATTCCTCCTACTTTCCGATCATTGATACGGATCATTTTTTTTTCAAAATTCTCACACTTCCCTCGACACTTCCCCTCCCTCGCCCCAATCAAGGACGTATCGTCCAAGGTCGGGGCGAGATATTCAATTTCAAAACTCTCGGAACCGATGTTCAATGCACCGTGAACAACCGGTGGTCGATCTTTATTCCAAAAAAAAAGGAGGGGGAACAGGATGGGGGGGTCAGACCGAATTCCACCGATCTAATTCGATACGATCTTCGTGCTCGAGCGAAGGCGGCCGCCGGCCGCATTCCGCGCCGTGTCCCCTTTTTGCGGTGAACGGTGGAGAAGGGGGGAGGAGGGATGGTACAAATCCGAGGCATCGACGACAAATTTGCAGGGGGAGCGAAGAGGCCACGAGGCGTGAAGAGGGATCCCCTTACGTGGGATCCTTAAGTGGAGAAGAAGTGGAGACGCTAAAAACGCGGTCTAAAATAATAAAAGATTTATCCCGGATAGCGACCGTGAAATTTACCAATTACGTTTGCGCGCCATTCTCAAAGCCGTCCCCGCTTTTTTCCCCGCCCATCCGCGCCACTATTTTCCACAATGAGAATGAGAATGTCTTTTCCCTTGGTTTTGTCGGTTTTGCGACCGCCACACTTCTCTGACTCTCTTCGATGAAACGAATCTCTCCATCCTTTCCGAATAAATGCTGTAACAAGTTTTAAAGATTTTTCTTTAAATATGTAATGCTATGTATAGAAAAAAAAAAAAAAAGAAGAGAGATACGTAATAGTGAAATTTAATTAATTCTATCGATTCTCTCGTTTATCGATCTCGAGTATTCCAATGAAACAATTTTCACGATACGAGTTTTGGCGAAAGCGTTCGTGCGCTTCTTGATCCTCCCTGTTCTGTACGACGATCTCGACGATTACGTAGAACGCTGTATGAAAAAGGAAAGAGATACGTGATAAGTAAAACTGATTTAATTAATCTCTTTAAAATAAAATGCACGATATACGTACCCTTTCGACGAACGTCCCCAAAACAATTGAATCCTCGCTCATTAGCCCAGCCATCTACATCGATCGAACCGAAGTGTCTGGTCTCGTAATCTTGATTCACGGAGCAAAGATTGTCCAACGCAGAACGGTACATTCTGCCCACGGTCGCAGAGGTGACGACGAGTAGATCGACTCGAACGCCTCGCAACCGCGCGAATCGAGCACGAAGTCTAGGATCTCGGCTTAGTGCCTTTTACCACAAACGCTCGCAAGTGATTAATTAAGCGTCAGCGGTTCCCTAGCGTACACTCGATCGCAAAAGTTTCTGCTCCTCCGCAACAAGAGATTCGTTTAAACGGGAAATTTGGGGAATTTTCTTTTTTCTTTTTTATCCAGAGCTTTTATAAGATAGCTCGTACACGGAACAATTTAACTTTAAATTTTCGAAATGCACGTAAGCTTGCTTTTTAAAAAATTATTTTCCCCCTCTCAGAACCTTTCGTTATTTAAAAAAAAAAAAGGAGGAAACTAATGCTAAAAACATCACGATTGATCGTTCTTTTAAGAGATATTACTTGTTCGAATTATTAAAGCGCGAGGGAGATTTTTGCGGGGGATTGTATGCGGCGCACAGTTGTTGTAGAACGTTCTTGTGGCTAAACATCGCGGAGAGAAAACATCGTGGCAAGAGATAATCGGCGCCCACGCGTTTCCTATCGAAACAACAGTGGTGGAGGGGGCGAAACTTCATTTCCCCCTTTTTTTTTTCAGAGAGAAAGGGAGGAGTGGGAATAAGTAGCGATAGAATTTTAATAGGCATGAAATGCGCAGAAATTGATTCTTATCGGGATGGAACTTTTTTTTTTTTACGGAAAACACGAAAGCGATTGCATCCCATTAAAACCGCGCAACCGTTGTTGTTGGAAAGAAGAAGAAGTTCTCTATTAATAGTTAATGTTGATATTAATATTAATGATCCCACCGTAATAATCAGTAGTAACGAGTATTAGCACAAGTTTTTTCTTTTCTTTTCTTTTTTTTTTTTCTTTTTTAGCCATGCATATACCTGTTATTACAGGTGTGCGCAGCAAATTAACTTTGCTTGTGAAAACTTGTTATTAAGTTTTGTTGAGAATCAAGGGGAGATGTAAGAAAAAAAAAAAGATTTCCATTTTCTTTTCATCCGTAAAATTTATGACATCGTTTTTTCGATATCTCGTTGATTCCATTATATACACGAAAGCGTTAGCCAGAATCTTGGACAGATCGAGAAAGTTTGAAAGAAAAAATTTTGCGTAACATCTCTCTCTCTCTTTCCTTCCCTCCTTGCAAAATTTCTATTAAAACGCTTCTATCGATCGGTTAAAACGTTACGGCGTTGATAATTTCCTAACAATATTTCAAACTAACCTCGTTTTCCCGTTAAGTGCTCTCCAACACGTACGAGCGGCGGAGGTGTATTTGCATCCACCTGTCCTGTTCTCCTTCTTCGATCCACCTTGTCCTTCGAATGTTTTGCCGCATAGCGATAACTGTTCGTGCGCGGCAACGTCGACAGATGATTCTTCGTGAATTGCAAGCGATTAATCCTCGTTGCATACGCGACCCTAATAAGCTGTGATTCTTTTCCTCTTTCGATCGAGTAACAATTCTTCAATTGATTCAAAATTTCATCACGATCTTTGAACGAGAGTTCCTTCTTCTTGGATTATTACCCCTATCCGTATCTCCGGGACATTAACCACGGTAAACGCATTTTTCAGATCCCGCCAATCTTGCGAACGCTGGTACGGAAATCTTGAGGAGGAGGAAACGATCTTGCGTTTTTCTTGCTTCTTATTTCTTTTCGTAGTGGTTTTACTTTTTTTTTTTTTCTTTTTCTAGATCGAAATCGTTCGTAAATCGTTGCGAAAAATTTCAATTTATATCATAAATTATTATTTGAGAACCGTTTCTCGAGCGAAACGTTCTCAACGAAAACTTTTTGCAATTATTTTATACGAATTCATTTGGTCTTGGATAAATTTTCACTCCAAACTGTGGAATAATTACGATATTGAACGAAGAAAAGGAAATTAACTCGCTCGTCGAATTAAGCATCTTCTTGT